ATTTTCATGTGTATCTTAATCTGAAAAATCTGAGCTAATATCTTATAAAGGAAATTAATATTGGGTTTTTTAAGTAATATTTATATTTAATTCTTAAATTAAATTCTAGTCTAATTTTTGGATCTATTTTATTTCAGTTAAATTCATATAGGGAGTAAAATAATTGTGCTATGTTTTATCTTAAAATATCACTCCTATTTTGTCATTTTGCTTATTAGAATCAATATCTAAAAGAGAATTAATAATATTAAATTATTCATATTGATTATTTTTATCTTTTTGAATTCCAAAAATTATTCCTACCTTTTGTTAAATTTAAGGATTAAATTTATCACTAATTTTTATTAAATCTAGTGAAAAAATTTTATGTTTTTGAAATATTTGTAATAATTTATTAATTATCTAGAACGGTTGATGACACATAAATGTTTCTTATTCCTCTAAAATTTGTGTAAGAATTGTTGCACCAGTGTAATAATCTTATTATTAGATGGCTTATTCAGCTTTAGTAAAATTAATACAAAACTCAAGTTATGAAAGGGAAAGAGACAAATTAGCAAATTTATTTTCTTCATAGCAATTCTTAAAATTTTAATTAAGCGGTGTTAAAGTTAATTCATTTTCCTCCATATTAATTATTTTTTTTTCATCTATCTAATTATTACTATATATACTTTTTAAGCTTGAAGGCACATTTTGAAAAGATTAAAGTTTATTTGTAGAAAAATTATTTTAATTTTAAATTTACTATTATCTAATATGTTGCATTGAAGGATTTTTAAGGAAATTGTCATAGCTTTAGTCATTTTAAAAAATATTTTCTCTTTTGAGTTATTTTCTGTCAGGTGAATAGGTAATATATCTTGGTAAAAATGTTAAAGAATTATTAAATTGTTAATTTTCAGGATCTTTTTATTATTAATTTGTAATTTTAATTTTACTACAATTAGTTTTACTTCCCTTTTAAAATAAATTTATCTATTCTTAGCAAGGAATAAAATTTTTATTTTATCTTATATTCTCACTAATTTTACGTTATTGGTTTTGCTCAGATTAGTAATTATAGTTACCATTTTTCTTATTTATTTTTCTTTTAAAGCTATTTTAAAATTAAGCATCATAAAGTTCTTTTTCGCATCTATTTAAAATTTCATTTGATTTCTTAAAATTATTTTGTTTAAAGTAGCACTTTGCAATTAATGACTTTAATTCAATTTCATTTTAAATTTAATTGGGTAAATACTAAGAGATTTGAATTAATTCATTTAATAACATTTTGATTTCATCCCAAAAATTATATGATTATGAACTTTCTCTCTTCGTCAATTTATTATCATCAAAATCTTCTTAAAATGCAAGTAAAGCTATAACATAATTTTTTTTTCTATAAAACAAATTTTATAAAAGTTGAATTGATTGCTGAGTCAGTTGAGAATATTATATTTTTAGTTAGTTATTTTAAATTTTACATTTAGTGCTATTTGATTAAATTTATTACTAAAAGCTAAACTAAGTATTCTAATTATTTATATTACTAAGGCGATTTAATTAATTTTATTAAGAATCTGTTTCTTTTTAAATATTATTATTTTTAGTAAAACTTTACTAATGAATTTTATTAAATCTATTTCTGAAACTAGAATCTTAGCTGTTTAATTAGTTATTGCTTTTTCTTACACTTTCTAATTCTACTTTTGTTAACTCCTATGCAAAAGCAGTAGATTATTAAAATCTTATCAATAATTGTGAATCATTTATAATTATATTTGGGCTTTCAATACATTTATTACTAAAATTCTTTGATTTTAGATATTCTTTTTTTTCATTTCCATTATTATGATCGATTATTTTCAATTCACATTTTTGGAAGCAGAAATTCTGTAAAGCACTCACATCAAATGAGTCTTATAAGCTTTTGCAAAAATTTTGTATTTCATATCTAGCAAACAAAATTGATTAAGAAAAGTGTTCCATCGCCTAAAAATAGTGCTACTATGAAATCAAAATACTGCCTATATGATTATGAGTTATTCCTACTGCACTAATATTTTAAAACTTTTTAAAGAATTCTAACTCTTTACTTAATCTAAGGAGAATCAATGTCTCATTCTCACAAAAAAAATTATCAGAAGTATAAGCGAGAATTTAAAAAACACCAATAAAGCTTTCGTAAAGCTCTTTTGTTTCTTTAGATGAGAAGAAGTCATATGGCGTCAAACTTTTGTCATTAAAAACATTTAAAAGTTCAATAGATTTATCTTAGTCTATTAAAATTCTTTTTAAAACACTAGTTAAATGGTTGATTGGGAAAGCCAACATTCCATATATATTTATTCCATAATACACAGAAATAACAATAAAGAATATAGCTAAGATCAAATATATTATAAACAGATAGATTGTAACTTTCTTTAGAAAGATTTAAATGTTATTTGAATACTAAGTCATTTCTAAATTGCTTATCATATTTATCTAGACAAAAGATAAACAAACTTAGAATATTTACTATGATTTATCATCAATTATATTTGCAGAAGGTATTTTAGAAATTACATTTATAGGGTTTAGTATAACTGTATAATCACTGCCATTTCTTTGGTATGGTACTATAGTAATATTTTTATAGTATTTAGAAAAATCTATTTATTCAATATAATTAACCTCATCAATCACAAATTTTGAATATAGCTTATGTAATGTATTATTTAAATTTTAAGCATATGATTGATCTTAAAGATACTAGAGTTCTATTTCTTAAAAATTAAGGACTTATTAATTTACCATTTGATGGCTAGAATCGTAAACGATTGTTTAACTTAATGGCTCTATCATATATAATTATTTTGTTGAATTTACAAAATTTTTAAAATAATAAGATGTATTATTTAGAGGTAATGTAAAGCACATAACATGATGTAAAAGGTTTTCCTAAGAATTTTAATCGAAATAAACTAATTTTTAGCAAAGATTTTGAGATAATCCTCCAAGATAAAGAAAATCTGGTTTTATTTAGCTTAATGATTTATATTTTTGAGCATTTTAATACCAAAATCTGCACCTTGGATCATAACCAAATAAACCAGTACTACAATTTTCATTAGTATTATTACCTTCAATAGAATATTTACTTTATTGAGATATAAAAATACCTTATTCTTACATCCCAAATATTGTATCTTGAAATTAAAGTTTCCTAACACCCTCAGATAAAAATTAATTCTCATAATCAATAGCCCTTATTAAAGGATTAATTTATTAAAAAGTTTATAAAACAGCTTTTCCTTTCTCATCCAATTTATTTAATTTTTTAAACTATTTATGGTACCTAAATTTTAAATATTAAATTTATATTAAAAATCATTTACTAAATTAAAATAGTATTCATTGATTTAGTTCTATAGTAAAAGAATAATTTATTTGATTGTAAAAATATATTTTTAAATTATAAAGATTTTATTTATTTAAATAATAAATAATTCATTATTATTTTTGAGTGATAGATAAAATGAAACAAAATTAATAAATGCATTATTACCAAGAAGTTATTGTAAATGGATTATTTTACAATATGTTTGAAATAGATGTGTCATTTTAGC